GGGTCGTGCTGAAGCAGAGGCTGAAGTACTTGACGGTAGAGAGACATAAGTGAGTAGCTTAGGAATCTTTCAGTGACGTGTGTTAGGGTGTTAACACTAGACGTGTAAAGCTGAATAAACAAGGTCTTGTAAGGATTGTTTAAAGAAGATTTGAATAAAGCTATTGGTGTTTTGTCTCTTGGTTTATCTTCTGCAGTACTATATTGTGGTGTCATCTTTGCATTTACAGGAGTTGCCGGAGAGATTGATCGGAGGTGTTAGGATGTGTCATGTGGAGCTGGAGTCGGCGTTTGTGGTGGAAGCAAGCCACCATGAAGACACGTGTTGAGTTTCGACGATGAATCATGAATGTAACTAAAAGTCAACGTTTACACCAGATCAGATCTGGACAAAGCGGCAAAAAGAATATTACATCGATGTCGAGATGTTCGAAATTTTGAGAAGTTTGATAAAATTCTTTTTATCTACTGTTATTTTGTCCATTTGCAAGTATTTCATCTGTTTCTCAGAAATAATTTTATTTTTTACATATATTAAAAGTAATTATTGTTCAATTATAAATGCATAAATTTTAAGCTAAACAATTTTGTATAACTTTCAACCAATAAATGTTGTACGTAGTCCATTTGTTGTTCAATTATGAATGAATAAATTTATGATGATACCTACTCCTCTATTTCCTTATATTTGACGTCCTATTTTTATTCAAATTAGATAACATTCTCAACTTTCATATAAAACTATTAATATCTGCCAAAAAGAAAAATTATGAATCTCTTTGTTTTATAATAAATGTTATTTTAACATTTTTTTCTTGTTAATAAAAATTTATTTTATAATTTTAATGCAAAATATATTTATTTTCAGCTGAAAATTAATTACAAACTGCTTTGATTTTGTAAATAGTTACATTTATTTCAAATACTATTGGCCAATAGATGTAATTAATATCAATTTACACACCTTTCAATCATTTCCTTAATCTGTGTAAAAATGTCAAAATAACACTTATTAAGAAACATATGAAGTAGTATCTTATGTTATACAATATGATTTTTTGCATTATAGTGTTTATTATATTAGTGGTTAAATCACAAAACAAATAATTAATGATGTTATGCTTGAAAACTTCTAATAAATAGTAATAAATGTTTTAAATAGTACATTAATTGCAAACTTCATTGATTTTGTAAATAATTATATTTATTTCAAATACTCTTGGCCAATAGATGTAATTAATATCAATTTACATACATTTCAATCATTTTCTTAATCTGTGTAAAAAATGTCAAAATAACACTTATTAGAAAATATATGGAGTAATATCTTATGTTATACAATATAGTTTTTTTTTGAATGAATGTTAAATTTATTCAAGATAAAAAACACTTTTATATAATAGATGTAAAAGTGTTTTTTATCTTGAATAAATTTAACATTATTCAATATGATATTTTGCATTAATTATAGTGTTTATTACTCCTTCCGTTTCGAATTAATTTTCATTCTGTAGGAAAAAATTCGTTTCAAAATAAGTGTCGTTTTAGAGTTTCGAGACGAAATTTATTAGTTTTATATGATTTGATATTTTTCTATTGGTTGAAAAGTAGTTAGTTGTATAGGTAATTGTGTTTTTTTCTTGAAAATATGTAAAATTAAATGTTTCCTTAATCTGTGTGCAAAAACGTAGAATGACAATTAAAATGAAACGGAGGGAGTATATTATTGGTTAAATCACAAAATAAATAATTAATGATGTTATGTTTGAAAACTTCTAATAAATAGTAGTAAATGTTTTAAATTTGTGTACATCAATCCTAAACATGTTAATTATTGTTAGCTAATAATAAAATGGAGAGTATTACATTAATTGTATGATTTTAATATCGAGAGACCATTGGCCCATTTGAGCAGCCAACCAGAGAGAAGAAAGACAGCGACTGAGAATCACACACACATCATGAACCAAACCGAAAGCTCTGCCAACGACAATAACCCCAAACCGTCCATAACCGGAGAAACATCCTCCGTACCAGAGTGGATAACCGAAACGATCAACAACGGATCACTCCGCCACGTCGATCTCCACACCGGAGTCAACGGCTGGGCATCACCACCAGGAAACGTCTTCTCTCTCCGCTCCACCAACTACTTCACCACCAAACAAAAATCCCCCGCCGGAAACTCCCTCCTCTCTCCCGCCGGCGTCGACTGGCTAAAATCCACAACAAAACTCGACAACATCCTCTCTCATCCCGACAACCGCATAACCCACTCCCTCAAAAACTCACAATCTCCAAACACCTTCGTCTTCGCCGTGAACTTCCAAGTTTCCGGCAAAGAACACTACAACTTAGTGTTCTACTTCGCCACAGAAAAACCAGTCCCTTTACTCCTCAAACCCTTCCTCAACGGAAACGACGACACGTTCCGTAACCAAAGACTCAAACTAGTGACCCGAATCGTGAAAGGGCCGTGGATAGTTAAAGCAGCTGCGGGGCAGTTCGGGGCGTTTATTCTCGGTAAGACGCTGACGTGTACTTACCATAGAGGACCGAACTACTTTGAGGTGGATGTTGATACAGGTAGCTCGCAGATATTCTCGGCGGTTGTGAGGGTTGTGTTGGAGTACGCGAGGAGCGTTACGGTTGACGTTGGATTTGTTATCGAGGCGAAGGAGGAGGATGAGTTGCCGGAGAGATTGATCGGTGGTGTTAGGATTTGTCATGTGGAGAAGGCGTCGGCGTTTGTGGTGAAACCGGGGAGGATGATGGGTTCGGCGGAAGAGGAGGACACGAACTGAAGTTTTAACGAGAAAAGTCAACGTTTTATCAGATTTCGATCTAGACAGAACTGGAAACTGTTTCATTGGTCTCGACAGGGTTTGACTTTTGTGTACTTTAATCAAGATTCTTTTTTTTTAAATTAATATTTTTAATTTTATCGACCATTTGCATGTGCTCATGTAGGTTTTGAAAGAAACGGAATAAATTCATGTTTCATTTTTATTTTTATTTTGGGTTTTGAGAATATACTCATGTTATATTGGAAGTGTAGGGTTTAGATTTGGGTATGGCGATGACATTCTGATGTTATGGTACTCAGTGAGTTCATAACTCGGGAATTATTCCGAACAAATTTTATATATTTAACCGAAAACCAAAACCGAAAATGGGATACCAAGAGCATCTCCAACAATGATATTAAATTTGGTGTCATAATTTATTTGTCATTTCTAATAACGACACCAAATTTTATACCAAAATGATGGACAATGAATGGGATGTCATGACTTATGAATAATGATGTAAATCTTGTGTGGTAGGAAGCTGTTGCAGAAGTTGAAGAACCAGAAGAGTCCACCAAGAAACTTGTGGGAGAAGCAATAAAGAGAGGAAGTGCTGCCAATATTACAGAAGCAGCAATAAAGAGAGGAAGTGAACCAAAAGCTGACCGCAGCTAGAAGCAGCCAAAGACTCAGAGCGCAACAGGTCGACTCAAAAGGCAATTGCTATTCACAGCGGCTCAGAATCTAAGAGGTCAACCAAGCAAACAGGTCAAGGGGGCACATCACAGTACACAATTATTTGGACCAGAACGTTGGTAACTAGAAGCTGGTCACAGATGGAAAAAAAAGCGAGTGTAGCAACCACACACTGCAGAGAGGATCGATAGAGAATCAAAGCCAACCACAGTTCACATCAACTCCACCAAAAGCAAAGCAAGTAGCCTTCACTCTATCACTAACTAAAATGTCAATACTGACTTCCAAAATGATCTTTGAAAAATGTATGTCTCAAGATTTTGTCATTGATGTAAGTTTTCTTTTTATTTGCTGTCATTTTTGAAGGTTCTAACTTCTAACTCTAGTAATGTAATGTTTCTTCTACTGTGTACTAAACTTATTAAAATTCTTCAAAAAATTGTTGAACTAGTCACACTTATTTTACCGTGGTATGTTACACTCTAACTCTATGATTGACATGTAACAACCTGTATGTTGCATTTGGCGTTTTATGACTAGATACATGTAAGATACCAAACAATACATACACAAAACACATGTTCAAAATCACATGATATATACAAAACAAGTTACATATAACAAACACCACTTACTCTCTCCTTCTCCTCTCCTCTCCCACCCTTAACAACGAACAACTCAACAACACAACACAAACAATTCTTAAGACAAAAAGTTGTTAAAAACATTATTACTAAAACGACAGCAAACAAAACCCTTCCCACCATATTAGAGTCTACCTCTCTCTCTCACACAATCTCTAAAACGTTGGTACAAGTCCAAACCCACTAAAGATACCACCATGACCAACCACATCGTTGCTCTCACTCGTATCCTTCCTCTTCGCAAACCGTCCCTTGATCCTTGGCCTCATTTCAGCATAAGCTTTCCTCGAAGCATACCTTATAGTCTTCTCAAACTTCCTGTTCTTCCTCTTCTCTCTGTACCTCATCACTCTCGCCTCTCTCTCCGCTGACGTCAGCGGAATAGCCCGCTGAGTTCCTGGATCGGTTCCACTGGCTGCAGGACCACCGTAAGGGTAAGAAACGTCGGCCAAAGAGCCGCCATCTGGCACCACTCCCACTTCCAACGACGATGATGATACCTGCAGTAACAAGGGGTTTGATTTAGATATATTATTGGATACTTAAATTAGGGTTAAACATGTTGCTTGCCTATAACGCTAAAAATGAACACCTAATAACTTGTACTAATTAAATTAATACTCCTTTTCAAAAAAAACTGTATGTTTTATATTGCTCACACATTAAAAAAACACATCTTAAATTTTGATTACAAATATTTTTCTAATTAACTATTTCCTAATAATTTGTAGTCAGTTAAATTTTGGACAAAACACAATTAATTTCTTTGAATCTTATAATTTTTTATTATTACCTAATAAAAATGTATTTTTAATTTTTATCTCTAAAATATGAATCATTTTGAAATCAAGGGAGTAATTAACATCAAAGATCTAAACTTTTATATTTTTGATTAAATAATACTAAGATCTAAGACTGAATAAACAATTGGTACTTTTTGAGTTCGTTGACTTGCTTTCCCGACATAATCAGTTAACTAATCAACTGACAAGAAAGCATGTAAGAAGTTCGGACAAAAGGTAGCTTACGCTGTGGCTGATGCAGTTATGTCCGTACGTAGAAAAGCCTTTGGATCCTCCGGTGAAGTCCAACTCGTAACAATTCTCGTTCACCGTCGGGACACCAACCCTCCGAGTCTCCACCGGAACCACACCGTCGGTGCCGGAGCTATTCTGCTCCTGAGACTCCACCTTCGGATCAACCGTCCCGTAATCAAGATCCAGATCCGGAAACATGAACCCTTGACCCGTGTTCATCTCCGGGCTATCTCCCGGCACAGCAAGCGCCGTCGTCTTCGGATTCGGGAGCAGCCACGACGCAGCCTCCTCCTCCTCTTCCTCGCGGCTACCGTGACCGTCAAGTTCAGTGAAATAACAGTCGCTCAAGAAGTTAACGGCCGTGTGCTTGGTGACGGAGACGGGATCGTAGAAAGGCGTGACGGGTACGCGCTCGTGACGGCGAGCCAGAGGGTTAGCGGAGTGGATGTCTCTGTCGCACGTGACGCAGAGAGCAGCCGCGTCGGCCTTGCACGTGACGTGAGCTGGCGCTTGCTCGCACACTTCGCACATCCACACGCGTGCGTGTCGAGACGCTAGCTTGTTCGCTGCATGGACCTTCGAGTCGCAGCTGAGACATAGAAACGCCGCGTCTGGACGGCAGTATAACGCCGCCGTCGCTGATTTGCACGAGTCGCAGAGCTTTGACGCCATCTCTATCTCTCTATACTTCTCTCTGAATAAAACTCACTCTTTCTCTTTGTGGTTGGTGTTGATATGTCTTTCACATGAGCTTTGTCTATGAGTCTATCCATGTGGGGTCCATGAGTATCCAGTAAGATCAAATGAGAAGTGAACACGTGGTGAAATCTTAGCCAAACAACATAGAAAGTAGAAATACTTGGCAAGGAAGTTCTGACTATGCGCAAAATGAGGTTTTTTGTAATCATGCGTTATCGTTTATCTCTACTTGTAATCATAGTTCTGCAGTGTTGACATTTGGCAACAGTTGTTTTTATTGCATATATTGCGTAGCGAATTTGTAAACTTTCATACAAAAAGGTTATTTTGCTAAGAAATCAAATGAAAAAAGAGTTTTGGTTGAATAAATTGTGAATAAAGCATGGGTTGATGCTTTCCACTTCTAGTCTTAGGACCACCACGAGAAGCAGCCATAAATGGGAGATGATACCGTGACCAAAGGGTAGATAAAGTAAGATTGGCCTGTGAGTAGGTCGATCGGTAGTTAAAAGCATCTCCAATAGTGTTATCCATTGGATTCCTTAAAGAAACTGTTTTTTATAATTTTTAATTAATTTTTTTGTTTTTTCAGATTAAAAAAAAAAAAATACTAATCAATTGCATGTTGTCATGTGTCATGGGAACCCACAAATAGTGTAAAGATTCGTTAAAAACAGTCCTTATTTAAAGATTTTAAAGATTAAATTCTTAATTTTTATAGGGTTTACTACTTATTTAATTATTTTTCTCTAAGGACTTCGGTCGTAGATGTTCTAGTTGTAGATGTTCTAATGAGCTTACTATAATGGATCTATAATTGGGCCAAATGGTTGTAGTTTATAGAAGCACTTATTACCCGTTATTATGGCCCAATAAATAAAATCTTAGTACAAAAAAGTTACAAAACCATCAATAAACTCAACGCTTTCACAGAATCATATTTTTATGTTCACTCAGCAAATAATTAAAACCAACGCACCTTGGTCTTAAAGGCACTTGATTGATACTAGACGGGGCTATGCGTAGCTGCAATGGTAACTTGTGGAACAAGTCACCTTACAAATGCTTTTATGGTGGAAAATTGCAAGAGCATCTATTTTGCCGGCCATGAGTCAACCGCAGTATTTGTGTCTTGGTGCCTTATGCTTTTCCTACTTGCAAGATTCTATTGGATATATGTAGAGAGGAATTGACCATGAGTATTACTCTCTAATAAATGTTTAAGAATATAAATACTCTGATACTCATATCAAAAGTTTTGATGGAACATACTTTAATATGTAAACGACATGGAGTAATTCATTAATTACGAATTAATTTTGAGTTGAAAGTTTAGATAAAATATTGAGTTCTCGTAAAGATGACATTCCCGACACAAAAACAATTCCCAACCTCTAAAACTATAATCTCTTATATAGTTTTCAAAAATATATATACATGTATCATCCACCTTCTAGCAACCTTCAATTACTTAATTCAGAAACATACGAGATTAGTGCTGAAAACACGTAGGGGTACACTGTCTTTACACCTTACTACTAGCACTTCCTCTTCTTCACTCTCACTTTCTCGAATTAATACTAGAAGTATGGATTAAATGAATCTCACTTTTGATAAACCTACAACATAATTAAACATGCCACAAGGCCACAACTATATTAGCTTTAGAAACTCCCCGTCAGGTGATAAATTATTTTATTTTCTAATTTTTGTATCGGTGTAAATAGTATTATTTGATTCCAATGGGATTTAAGAGCTACAGTTTGTTTGATGATAAAAGAGTGAAAATATATGCATAATTGCAAGAAATGAAAAGACAATGTTTTATTAGTTTTGATATATAGTTTAATCTGATCATAACATAGATTTGAATTCTCAATCAGTTGATTTTGCATATCTTAAAATACTTCATAAAAAAAGTTGTTTCATATAATTGATAGATTAAAATTTAGTATATATATATAGGTGTGTGTGTGGAAAATGTCGAGAAGCTTGTGTCTGAATGATTGGCATTGTTTAAAACATGAGATTGTGGGTGGAAGCATGATAATTAACCTTTCTATAAAGTTTAACCAACCAAACCAATACAATTTCTCTTTTTAGATAATAATCAACAAGAAAAACATTTGATTCTCGGAATAATTTTTGTAAGAAAATACAAAAAAAAAATCGATAATGAGGAAAAGAGAGAGAGGTGGACATCCGAGGGTGATTCTCTGCCACCGAGAAGAGCAAAACTTAAGATTAAAAATTAAGAAAGAAAGTGATAAGATTAGATGCTGTTTTTCTTGACCTCAGCCTCATCTCATTGGTCCCTATGCTTTGACCTTTACTTATGACTTTTAATATAAACCACGTTTTTTCTTGTAAATAACATTTTAACTAAATTTTATTTGTTAGCCATCCTATCTACTGATCTACCTACTTGTATGTAGGTGTAAATTAAACTCAATATTACTTGCACAATATCATTTTCGTTTACTTCTTTCATCCAAATTGTAATTGTTCTTAGTTTCCTATCTTTACTTGAATTCGGATTTAAGAAATCAATGTGTCATTTTGTGGAAATTTTATCACAAGCTACTAAAGTCAAAGATAGATATACATTGGTGTAAAAGTAGACTATAATGTATAAATTTCACTTGAGAGTTTCTAAAACATATTGCTAACATTTACCCTATTCAATTTGACATCTAATTGTAGTTCTTTTGTTATTTTCTATTCATTGTGTATTAATTTTGATACTAGTTTTTAAAACTAACACAATTTTTACTGTCTTCGACTGAGCATGCTATAACAATCCATTCACTGTATATATTCATCAATTTTGACAAGCTTTTCATCACTGTTTATTGAAGTTTTACAAAATAAATTCTTTGATTGTTATTAAAAATTGGGGGACAAAGATATGAATATTCAAGATGGCAAAGAACTGGTGATGCCTCCTCATATTGACATCCTTCCATAAATAGATCTAAAACTTGGTAGGGTCAGATTTAAGTATATATTTTGATCCTTATAAAATGTTATAAATCTGTTGTTGTAAACGAGAACATATTATTTGGACTAAGAAAATTGCAAAGATTCATAAAAAAATGAAAATTAACCTGAAAAACGTTACAATTAAAAAAGTTTATTTTATATTTTGTAGAATTAATGATCATCCATTTCCATTGGTTTTGATTTTTTTTTCTTTTTATGTAAAACAGTTTCAAATACTCAAAAAGGGAATATTCCTTCCCTTTATCTTAGCTGAGTTGTGACCAACTCAACCAGTCTTTTTTTTAGAACATTAAAAAAACTTGACAACTATTTTTACTTTGTAATTAAATTTTAAATGTTTCAAAAATACTAAAAATACAGAGATCAGAAGCAAAGGACAGTAAGCTACATTAGTTTAAAGTTGTTTGTGTCCGAAATCACGCATACGCATATTTCAAGTTATATCATCCTTATCGTCTTCCATCAATTAATTTTTTAGACAAAAAAAAATAAAAACCTTATCCCTTCTCTCTCCCTCTCTCTCTTCTGCCATTGCTATTCCTACGATTCTCTGTGTCTCTGTGATTTGAGGATCCAACCCCAAAGTTGATGAGACATCGACCCAAAAACAAAAGCAAAGTTTTTTTTTTTTAATCCGACCAAACTGGTAAGAAAATTTCTGGAGATTCGGTGATGGAGGTGATGGAAGGAGGAGGAACAACGTTCTCAATCGAAGACTCTGAATACGGAAGCGATCTGACGACAACGATGAGAGACAAAGCTTCCTCATCCTCCTCGTTTGATACAGTGAACGATGAAGGAGGCGGTTTGAGTCGTGTCGGAAGCGGTGTCTGGTCAGGACAGACGGCTGATTATTCATCGGAAAGTTCATCGATCGGAACTCCGGGAGATAGCGAGGAGGAAGACGAAGAAAGCGATGATGATTCATCTAAAGAATTAGGGCTTCGAGGATTGGCTTCAATGAGCTCTCTTGAAGATTCTCTCCCTAACAAGTAAGTTTTAATTTTTTTTGTTTACTTACTAAAAATGGTAACTTGGTGAACAAGATTGGTTAATTAGGGTTCTTGATTTTTAATCTAGAAGAGGGTTATCGAATCATTACAAAGGGAAATCGAAATCGTTTGGGAATTTAGGAGAGATCGGGAGTGTTAAAGAAGTACCGAAACAGGAGAATCCATTGAATAAAAGAAGAAGGTTACAGATCTGTAACAAGTTAGCAAGAAGATCGTTTTATTCGTGGCAAAACCCTAAATCTATGCCTCTTTTGCCTGTAAACGAACATGAAGATGATGATGATGATGAAGAGGAGGGAGATGATGGAGATCTGAGTGATGAAGAGCGAGGAAGAGGAAGAGGAGGACTTATTGCAAGAAACTCATCGTTCAAGAACAGAGCATTCAAGTCTAGGAGTTGTTTTGCTCTATCAGATCTGCAGGAAGAAGAAGAAGATGAGTGATTTGATTAATTTAATCCAATAATGCAAATCATGATTTTTCTTTCTTTGTTCATAGTTTCTTTTTTTTTTCTTAATTCGTCGAATTAATGTTTCTTTTTTTTTTCTTTTAATTCGGGAAATTAAGTTATTATATTATGTCGATGGGAGAAAAGTAATCAACTACGTTAGTGTTTGTTCCTTTCTTTCTGCTGATCTGTCTATTGTCCTTTTTCCATCAATCTCCACATTATCTTGATTCTTTATCTATTTTTTATTTTATTTAAAAAAGTACAAGTCAATATAATGTGGATATTTTCTAGAAATGTGAGCATACATGTGGAGGGTGTGATATCCCAAGTCTATAAATGTAGTACATATAAATTAAATTGATTTTGTTGAAAGGGATTCCTATGTTATTAATAAATTCCAAAAAAAACTGAGATAACTCTTTCAAACAGAAAAAGAAATAAATACCACTACAAATTATTTGAGGAAAATACTTATTTTAGATTATATATTGCATGCATTTTTTAAAACTAAAAATAGCATGGAAATTGTTTGAGCTATATCTTTTTTAAGAAAAAATTTGGTTCTCTTTGTTGGAGCTAAAAATACCATGTTCCTATAAGATGCATATTTAAGTATTTAACACAAATAATTTTAATAATAAATATAATATTTTATGTATTTACTAATTTTCAATATTTTCAAATTAATAGTATTTCACAAAGATAATTAATTCTTTTGAAGTTTAAAGTTCATCATTATTCCATCCGTTACAATTTATTTGTCGTTTTAGAAAAAAAAAATTGTTACAAAATAAGTGTCATTTTATAATTTCATTGTATAATTTATTAGTTTTGTCTACTTTTCTATTTTTCTAATGATTAAAATGTGGTTAATGTATATGTAATTATGTTTTATTTTGAAAATATACAAAATTAAATGATTTATTAGTCTATGTCCACAAGTTTAAAATGACAACTAAAATGAAATGGAATTAGTATTAACTAATAAATTTGTAAAAAAAACCTTAAAACAGTATCATTCTCAGACAATTTTTAATTTTAAAATATTTATTTTTTAGAAACATAGAGAGTGTGTAGAAAGTAGAGACGTATTTTTATCCCAAAGCATTTGGTTTTCAACATATGGAAGTTTAGTAATTTGGACATACAATTAAGACGTCTTTATAGAATGAAGATCCGTCAAAAAACATCTATACGATGTAATTGCTGAGGGCTTCGGAAAAAAAAAATGTTGTTGGAGAAACAAGACGTGCAACCTCTTCTTGTTGCTCTTCTCTTTGTTTTTTTTTTGTTTTGTTTTGCTTTGTGTTTGATCTCATCTTGTTCCGACAGCTGCTTGGACAACTATTACTCAATCTCACTAAATTCTTGTCCTGCCATTTGTGTTTGTTTTGTACAACAAAATGTCAAAGTTGATAGGAACTTTCATGTGGGTGGGGCAAACTTTGGATAAGCACCAAACACATGTATCATTCCAAGTCATAAATTGATCTGGTTAAAATGTAATAGAACAAGATTGAGTAGCATAAAGTATCTATATTACTATCAGGATATTCACTTATTTATTCTTAATAAAATACTCTATATTTAGCACTTTATTTATAGTTTTCTCTTTTCAATGTCACTTTGAAGTTGGAAACAAATTTCGGAGTTTAATAACACTTATTTTCCCATGAATGTATCACATCATTTGTGTTCGTATTTTGATGTATTACTTACCAAATTCAGTCCTTCGACCAAAAGCATGAATGGACTTTGATCAACTGTTGATACGTATATATGGACTAACATTTAGTAAACAAAATTGCACAAACTAAAACAATCGGGCCGAAATTACCTAAACCAATTTTAGAAAGGTTATACTATAAAATAGCATTGACTCGTATTTTGGGTACACAATAGATTACTGGCGGGGCCCTTCCATGCACTATATGAGCCCCCACACTCGTCACTTGCCTACTTGCCCATCCTAAACACTTGCAGATCTGGAGTGTGACACTGCCATATATGTATATGATGATCACAATAAGATGTGTGAACTATCAAATATCAATTGTTCTTCTCTAACCATTACTTATCCTTCTTTCTAGTTCTTACCATTAAACATTAGGTTTTGCATCATATCGATCGAAATAATCTTTACTTGCATATATACACCACTGCATTCAATCCATTCAAACATATTTGATTAGGTACGTGTAACTTTGTTCACTAAAAAACCATACAATTCACGGGATAAACATTAAGATAATTAGACAGAATAAAACTAACATGGAATTCAAATTTAAAGATGACATTGTTGATTTTTTTGTTGTGTCAGTGTCGAATCACATGAGGTGGTGAGGTCACCGCATTTTTGTGATGGCTGTACGATTCTCAAAAGGCAGATCAGAGAAGATGAGAGAAGAAAAAATAGAGAAAAAGTAAAAGCAGTGTGGAAGAGGCAACTTTGAAGGCTTGCCGGCACTTCAGGAGGTGTGAGTTTTCGAAGCCTGAGGTATAAACGAAACCTCCATTAAGCCAGGATTCTAAAAAATGTAAGTCAGAACCCTAGTTTCTTCAGTTAAGCATTCTGTTGACTTACCTTCTTGGACAAGAAACCTCTGTAAGAAACCTGCAATTTAAACTCAGAAATATCAGTGTGCATTTAGGCTAATTTGGAGGAGTTTTCCGGTAAGATAAAATAAAACTTAATCACGATAAAGTTATATATGGAAAGATCACATTTTATAGAGCTAATAGGATCAATAGTATGATGAATTGGAGCTATAACCGATTCGAAAATTACCTTCAAAGTTGGACTGGAATCCATCCAAATCTGCAGATCAGGGAAAGCTTCTGTTGAAGCAAATTCAAGAGAACGTGGAAGATTCATTCATGTGAATTTGTGTACGTTTAAAGAACACTACAAACTCAAGAATCGACGGTGGGATTGAGAAGTGGACGGTTAGTTTATTAGTTATTCTTATCTTTCAGAACCTGTTTGATGCAGTTTATGAAAGTGTAACATGTCCCACGAATTGTATTGTTTGGTTGGGAAAATAGGTCGGACTGAGCTCAGTTTATTCAGCAACATTCTGCACTCAGGTATATGTGTTTCACTAGAAGGAGAGTCGGTTCTAAGTTTGAGAGCATGGAACGTTGGTCTGTTAAGTTTTAGACAACTAGTCTGTCCAGAGAAAGAAAGAAGGAGAAAATCATCTTTGTCTTGTTATCAAGTGGTTAAGGTGAGAGGTCTATGGAAGCGAAGCATACTTCATATTTTCTATTCATATATAAGCTTATATTGGTTGTTAGCTTAGAAATTCTGTGGTAAGTTGCATGGAATGATGATTGGTTATATGTCTGAACCAAGCAAGGACGGCCTAGTGGTCTTGAGAGAGCTTCGACGCCAATACGGATCCGGGTTTGAATTTGGATGGCCACTGGAGGTAAAATCTAAAATCTGGGCTCCTCCAGCGTCCGGTGACCGAGACGTACTCCAACCGATAACGTAGGTTGATACGGACACTCCCTGCTAGTCTAGATTCACCTTGGTGGGTGCTAAGATACGCCGTGTTATTCAAAAAAAAATGGGATTGGTTATATGTTTGACATGTATATAAGAATTATTGTGATAATATAAATATGTATGATATGAAAGGATATAATACATGTTATAGTATAATAGAAATGATATGTATGATATGCATTACACTTTTAATTGCAAGGCAGAGCAATAAGCGATGTCTCCTAGACTAGTTTCGCAAAATAGCCTAAGTTCTAGCTTAGCTATTTCTTATAGACTAAAGCATGCCTTGTATACAATACATCAGAAGCTTCCACTAAACCCTTAACCAATCAATGCTTCTGAAAATGCTCCCTTCTACAGTGTAGGAAAAATTGTCATACACATGCATGCACTCCTATACATATTTATATTTCTAGGGATTGTATGTGTGTCGATGATATTAAAGCTCGAGGTCAGGTGAGCAGTGCTCCTCGAGACTGGGAAGTGATTCTTAAAGCAATGTCGACACGTTTCGGATTCCCGTAAGCTCGCGAGCTGACATTGCTTTGTTCACGTGAACCACTGTGGTCTATTGCTTACGTTTGTGTGAAATGTTTTTGACTCAGTGATGTGAATGATTATCATGTATAATTGGTGGGTATCATCATTGCATGCATACCCATGGATTGATTGGGGTATAAAGTCATGGTTTTATGATTGTAGTGACACAAAAGCAGCAGGACCTACTATTGATATTTCTTTGTCCATGGCATATAATTTTACAACAGTAATTTTTTTGACGAATGATGTATCGTCATTTTTTCACTTATTATGCTACAGTTTCTTCGTATAATATGTAGCTGCTCGTTAGTGTGCACTGAGAGACTGACACAACCAATTGCCTGCAAAAGTTTTTTTACGTAATGTCTTTTCGACGCTCTAGCACGAAAGGCAAATAGATTTTATGCGTTTCCTGTTATTAAAATAGCTAAATGATAATGTATCATGTTTTCAACTTATTTGAACTTATATATTTTTGTTAATTTTGAAATGGGAACCATATAACTGGAGACAAATTAAGAGAACATAATATTACTTTCGACCAACACAAAATTAAGAGAAGCTGAGCAAGAGCAACTCTTTTTTTTTTTGCTAAGAATTAAGGAATCAAATTACATTAGTGAAAGTTTATCATGCCTCATGGGGTCCCCAACATATTCCATCATATATTATAGATACATGTTATATATGTATGATAGCCGATATGTTATGGAGGTGGAGATGGTATTTTTCAATATGATAAGCCGATATGTTATGTTACTCAAATCATATGATAATATCTATCTTCTTATGATAGATTTTTCCATGGATGTTTACTATGGTTTTGAGATATATTGGAACCCTAACTAGAAGTCTATCCAAAAATGTCATCAATTAGGGATTGTTTGTTTCACTATCCTCAGAGTTTTGTTTATTTAGTTAAATTACAAGTCATCTTATAGATGGTTCATCTCGATGAGTTTAAAAAATTTAGGCTAAATTTTTGAAATCATCCAAATGAGCCAAATTAGAAATCGAGTTTTGGATTAAAATAGAAAAGCTTCTTTTTTTTTTGTAGAGATCAACATAGCCAAATAACATATCTTTCATTAACAATGGTGTGACATGTTAAGCAAGAAAAAAAAAACAATGGTGTGACCGACACAACAGAATACAGATCATGAAAACATTAAAATGAAACTTTAACCATGTTATGATTTAGTTCTCCCTAAACCGACTCTTCTCTTCTTAATCTCAACTTTGACAAACCACAATCACACACAGTTACACACTCTCAACATTGACAACGAAAAAAACATGCACATGCAACTAAAAGACAAAACCCAACAAATACTAGATTGAAAAACAACTCTCACAACACACACACAAAAAAAAGATTTAATTGGAGTCTCGGACGTGGAAGTAATTAGGGTTCTTGACGACGATATCATACATGTAAACGGAGTTGAATCTGGTGAAATCTCTAGGGAGAGAGATGAGATCAATAGATGAGGGTTTGTGGAACTGGAGGAGCTCTGTGTCGCCAAAGTACCTCTCCCACCCAAGACTCTGGAGGATCTGCTCGAGCATCGAATAAGATGAGACCACTTCTCCAGTCGGTAAATAGACCATCACTTTCCTTCTGCTGTGTGGGTCGGCTCCTGACTGGTTAGGGTTCTCCACAAGCCTTATCACTCCGTTCTTGAACACCCATACGCCTGACATGATCTTCTTGATTTAGAGAGAGAGAGATAATTAAAGAGAGTATGCAATGGTTTAGTTTTTTTCCTTAGAGAAGAGAGCTGTGTCTGGAACTGTTTTTATAGAGTTGTAACGGGCTCTCTATCACATAAAGACAAAAGTATTTTTTTGAACGTGACAATTTTTTTTGTTTAAAAGTTTTTTAAATTTTGCTATTTTATATATTGTTTATTTTCTGACTTTTCTCATTTTATCTTTTTTCTTATTTTTACATTTAAGTTGCAATTATAGAAATCTTATATAATTTTTAAAAGATAATTCAATAACTTAAGTTTGATTTTATTTTTGTGAATTTTAGAACTTTTATTCAAAATTGTTTTAAAGTTGCTTATGATTATAACTAGCAAATTTTCAATGCTTTTTACTGTGTCCATTTTAGGAGGCAATGCCGGAGTGTATTCTTACATTACTTTATATAACTCTTTCATTTTCCATCAAAAAATTAATATATCAATAAAAACTTCTATTTTCTCCATTTTGTTTTGCAAAATATAACAATAGAACAATGCATTGCTTAAATGACTTATTATAACATAATATCATGACATTATACAATTCAATTTTTTCTATCTTAGATGCCACGATTTGTGTTACTTTAATTAGCATCCTTTCCGATTCTACCATTTTTTTTTTTTTTTTTGTCCCGATTCTACCAATTATAAGCACACTTTTGTGATTAAACTTTGTCACTCACCCACCTTTTAAGCGACAAACAGTAATAAAATAAACCTTGGACAATAGCCCTAATGGTGGAGCCACATAGTGACGAATCTATAAGAGAATCACGCATACAATAGTGGTTAGCGAATCTCTCTAAAAATGTCTCTTAAGTTAATACTTAAAAAGATTATTCGACATTGGGAAAACATAACAACATTCACTTCCCTAACACAAATATAATTCTATCGCAGTTAGCCAATCGATGATTGTATTAGTGCACATACACACACAAACCTTATGCGTAATTGGTCGAATGCATTTTTTATGTTATATTCTACTAATCTTCTTCCCGTTGAAGTCTAATAACATTATTATAACTATACAATTTTTTTTTGAAACTTTAATTTTACAATGTTTTGGTAAACTAAAAGTCTAATAATAAGATAAAATGAAACTAAAACTACTTGAAAATGTATACATGCGGGAACATATATATAAAGGAGCTCAACTATGTATGTAATATATATATTCCATGCATGTAAATCGGAAGATTATATGTTGAGTAAGCCCTTTCTCAAAAAAAAAAAAAAGATTATATGTTGAGTAAAGGTATACAACTAATAATTAACAAGTATAAACTTGTCGTTTCATGACTCCTTTGGACACTAATATAGCAAACATCCAAATATAATTAGGTCATACAGTTATATATAAAAAAATAGGTCATGCATAAATTTGGGCATGTCATCCTAAAGATTCTAGTGGAAGAATATTATTATACTATTTCTTATTTGTACTAGATATTGTTTTCCTTTACCTTTATTCTTATTAATTTTAAAATAGATCAATGAATATATATGATAGTCTTTTTAAGAGAAAATGCATAAACGCTTTAATTTTAAGTATTTGTCAAAAAGTACTGTACCTTTCACACAAAAAAATCTTATTTCTAGGTTTTTCCCAGAAAATTACTGTGATTTTGAAACTAAAACAAAAAACTAGAATTTTTAATCCAATATATAATAATACTGTTACATAGATAAAATGTTATACTGAGTTTAGATACTCCAAATAATTAAAATATAAGTATAGCAAAAATAACTAAAAATGTTATTATAAAATTATAAAAAACTAATAATTTTGAATATTATAAAAGTTCATTTAATTTTTTTTTCCAATTTTTTTTTTTTATAAAAATTTTAGAACATATTTGTTACATATATTTCAAAGATAACTTTATTTTTATTAATTATATCATAATTTTTTCAATTTATTTTCTGAAAATTTAAAACTTTCTATTTCCGGAGAAAATTTGAACAAATCTCGGATATTTGATCTCAGCCCATTATTCAGACAAAGCCCATCAACATTCATCAACTCTCTGCCTCACAAAAACGACACAACTCCACCAGATTCAGACAAAAGGCTAAAACATCCACCACGTCACACTTCCACAAACCAAAACCACGTGTCTCTCCCACAACTCGTCGATCAAAAAAGTAGATGACGTTAACACTTCACAAACTAACCCGCGAATGTCGGCTTCTTTGCTCTCTTCTTCTCCTCTCTCACACCCACTTCGCAGATCATTTAACAAACGCGTCTCCTCTCTGTTCCTCTGCTCCGCCGCGAAAATGAACGGTTCTATACACCGTGTCCCTGGCCTCAACGGAGAAGAGATGGACACGGTTGCTGGAAAGACCTTTGAGAGATACGCATTGCCTTTAGAAACGAAGAGAAACGGTAAAGGAACCACGATTGTGTGGTTTAGAAACGATCTTAGAGTTCTTGATAACGAGGCGTTGTATAGAGCTTGGTCTTCCTCTGAGACTCTTTTGCCTGTTTACTGTCTTGATCCTCGTCTCTTCCACACCACTCACTTCTTCTCCTTCCCTAAAACCGGAGGTAAATCGTTTTGGTTTGATCTGATCATCGATTTTTTTGAGTTTACATTGTGTTGTGTTGTAATGTTTTAGCTTTGAGAGGTGCGTTTCTTATGGAATGTGTGGCTGATTTGAGAAAGAATCTGTTGAAGAGAGGATTGAATCTTATGATTCGGAGTGGTAAACCAGAAGAGATTCTTCCTTCTCTTGCTAAAGACTTTGGCGCTCATACAGTTAAGTCTTTTTTGTGTTTGTGCTGAAACTTTTTCAGATGTTTCTTGAAGATGTTAAAATTGTATCGAATGTTTTCAGGTGTTTGCTCATAAAGAAACGTGCAGCGAGGAGCTACACGTTGAAAGACTTGTGGATAAGGCTTTGAAAGGGGTTGGGAATGGCACTAAGCTTCAGCTTATCTGGGGAAGCACAATGTATCACAAAGATGATCTTCCTTTTGATGTTCTTGATTTGCCTGATATCTACACTCAGTTTCGTAAGGTCTGATGATTATTTTTGTTTTTGTCTTTCTTGAAGAACTAGTACTGTAAATGGTGAAGGATTTAAGATAACTAGTACCATGTTTGGTGAATGGTGATAGTAACACATAGATGTTTGTGTCTGGTTGAAAATTTTGTTTGCAGTCAGTGGAAGCCAAGTGTAGGATCAGAAGCACCACTCGCATTCCACTTTCTCTAGGACCAACACCTTCTGTTGATAACTGGGGAGATGTTCCAACACTTTCTCAACTTGGAATTGAGACACAAGAGGTGAGTTTCTCTGAGAAGAGAGTAAAGGAAGCAAAACAACATTTTGTATTGTTTAGTCTTTATGTGTATGTTGAGACAGGTGACAAGAGGAATGAGATTTGTGGGTGGTGAAAGTGCAGGAGTAGGCAGAGTTTTTGAGTATTTTTGGAAGAAGGCAAAGACCATTAACAACCTAAGCTCTTCTTGCTTCTACTATGACTCTGTTTGTATGTGTACATAAATGTTGTATGACTTTTTATTTTATTTTTTTAATGTAGGATCTTTTGAAAGTGTACAAAGAGACAAGGAATGGCATGTTGGGATCTGATTACTCAACTAAATTCTCTCCATGGCTTGCCTTTGGGTGTATCTCTCCTCGGTTTATCTATGAAGAGGTCAGATCATTCAATCCTTTATCCAGCATATAGGACTGGATATGGGATTTAATCTTAATAAAAAAAAATCAATAATTTTGGAGAACATGCAACTATGTATAAAAATTTGGGTGCCAAAGCAGTTTTTCATTTATGTGGTACCTCAAAATATTTTCAGGTTCAAAGATATGAAAGAGAAAGAGTAGCAAACAACTCAACATACTGGTAATGTTTTTATTAGTTGAGTTTTGAATCTTCTGTTGGATTAACTTCACTCTCAGTTGATTTGTTACATGTGTGTGCAGGGTGTTGTTTGAATTAATATGGAGGGATTACTTTAGGTTTCTTTCAATCAAGTGTGGCAACTCCTTATTCCATCTAGGTAACGTGCTTAACACGCACACTTGTCTGAATTGAAGCTCAAGTCTAAGTTAACTTATTTTTTGTAGGTGGTCCAAGAAATGTGCAAGGGGAATGGAGTCAAGATACGAAGCTATTTGAGTCTTGGAGAGATGGCAAGACAGGGTGCTTATTATGATATTATAATTTGATATTATGCTTGAGGTTCTATAGTATTAAACTTTATGAATGTCATTAGGTATCCTCTTATAGATGCAAACATGAAGGAGTTGTCCACTACAGGTTTCATGTCAAATCGAGGCAGACAGGTATATATGATTAGTTTCCCTGTGGGAAACTTAGCTTTGTTTCTTTTCATGGATGATTGTTCATTCATTCAGTTTTCTGTGCAGGTTGTTTGTTCGTTTCTTGTGAGGGACATGGGCTTGGACTGGCGCATGGGTGCTGAATGGTTTGAGACATGTCTTTTGGACTATGATCCTTGTTCTAACTACGGAAACTGGACCTATGGAGCAGGTACTACTTACTACTACTCATGCCACTTGTTGCTTAATAGAAACATGATTAACATTTTATTTTGCTCATTGAAGGAGTTGGTAATGATCCAAGAGAAGACCGTTACTTCAGCATTCCCAAGCAAGTAAGTAACCTTCTTAAACATCTGGATACTAGTCTGGTCCTAGGCTTCTAGCTAGTGATGTGAAGAAGAGACTGAAGCTTGTGTGTTTGGTTTTGTTTTGTTCAGGCACAGAACTATGATCCAGAAGGAGAATACGTTGCATTTTGGGTGCAGCAGCTGCGTAGGCTTCCAAAAGAGAAAAGGCATTGGCCTGGGAGATTGATGTATATGGACACAGTTGTGCCATTGAAGCATGGTCATGGTGGTGGTAATGCTCAAACGTCTCGTGGGTCAAAGTCTCGTAATGGTTTCAGAGATAATAATAGCAGGAGACGTTGAAGACACAACAATGGTCCTTGGAGAAACTATTGTTCACAATAATTTGTATTATCATTACACGTTTCATTTAAAATATGTAACAAACATCTTGTTGTAAGTTGTAATGCCTCTTTCTTAACTTCAAATTTTTGGGTTATTATTCACAGAAATATTGAAATTGTTAGTTGTTCTATGTGAAAATGGGCAATTTTTTTTGAAGTATTTGTACTCAAGTATTGTCTATGCAGAATTATTCTCTATGAATAGTAGTTAATTATGTAAAATTGACGATAAAATAATCCAAATGTTAACTAATTAACAAAAACTAACGTTTATGTCAATTTTTAACAGTTGAAGATTCTAATAATAATTTTTCATAGCTATTGATTAGCTGAAGAATAAATATATGCATACAATATTTAAGTATCAAATATCTGAAGAATTAAAAATACCACTCTTTTTAAGAAAAATATATAATTTAAAAAGATTTTTTTAAGTTAGATATAACCAATAAACTAGATTTTTACCTTCAGAATAAGATTTTTAAGCTTTTACAATGACATAAAATAATAAATAATTGTAGTTGTATCATAAACTATTTTTTTTTTCAACTGCATCATAAACTTATATTATCATAAAATAACTGTTTTATAATTTCTTAAGAAGATGGGAAATAAATAAAATCATGGGGTAAAACTTTTGTGGCCTTTTTTGAGTATTAGACTTGGCTTGACATTAGCGGAGTTTTTGTTAGGTGGTTGATCCTATTGATTAGGATCTGAGTCATCATGACTGTATAGCTGAAACTTTCCTGTTGAGGAGTTCTCGTGAATGCAATTTTGCTCAGTCTTTTTTGAGTTGTTTCGTTGATCAAAATGTTGCGCGCGAGAGCGTTTCGTCAGACAAACAATAAGATTGTGAAGATACAGGTGCACCCCACGCATCCATGGCTTGTTACTGCTGATGATAATGATCACGTCTCCGTCTGGAACTGGGAGCATCGTCAGGTTTCTAGTTTTTATCGAGATTCTGATTCAGTTTGGTATTTATTACTTCTGATTTGATCCAGTGTCTTTAACGTAACTAACCATTTCTTCTAGGTAATATATGAATTGAAAGCCGGTGGAGTTGATGAGCGACGTTTAGTTGGTGCCAAGTTAGAGAAGCTCGCTGAGGGAGACTCTGGTGAGCCATGATCTTGTTCCATGTTAATTTCATTAGAGCATGCATCGCCAAACGTAACAAGTTCAATCCTACTCGAATAAAAAATGGAGTAATGAGTAATAATTTTTTTAATTAACCTGGGGTACTTCGATACTATGTAAAAAAACTAGACTAATACTTAAAGGAGGTGCAGTCTACGGATAGACAATTTCTCCTGTTTAAAATGAGGCCTAAATAATTTTGTTGTGAGGTTTTCGAACCCAAGTGGTCCCTGACTGATTCTACCATAGAGGCCAACGATAGACAAGAACTCCCCCCGAAACACAGCATACAACTTTCATCGTACTGTGCTCTCCAAAGAACAACTCTTCTCAAAATTTCAAAAGGTGATGAGTTGGAGTCCCATTCCAACTAAGGATTCTTGGGGTTCTAGAGGATCCAGCTACATGAGAACCAGGAGAGCTTTCCCCTCTTTTCTGCCCCAACTCTTTCGAATGCTGGTTTTGCTTAGTTAGCTTTCCAAAATCCATATACGAATAGATCACCAAGTAAAAGTTAAATAATTTTTGTTAAGAATAATCCCATTTCTTACTCTTGCAATATGAAATGGAAAATAGAGTAAGGTAGAGTAGGTCTGGAGAAGATTTTCCAAATTTCATATCTTAGTAAAAAGATAAAGCTAATTTGAAGATGCTCTCAGTCTTTGTTTTTCAAAACTACATTCTGTTATGGTATAATGAGTGTACGCTTCATTAACTGATATTCATGTGTTTCTCAGACTATAAAGGCAAGCCTACTGAAGCCATTAGAGGAGGCAGGTAATAACAAATCTTTACCGTTGCTATTTTTTTTATCCTCTTTGAATATGAGGAAAATGACTTCTCTTCTTTTCACCTACAAGTGTGAAGCAGGTGAAGTTTTATGACGATGATGTGCGTTACTGGCACCTATGGCGAAACCGCTCAGCAGCTGCTGAATCTCCATCAGCTGTTGACCATCTCACATCCGGTTTCACTTCTCCTGCTCCATCGACTAAAGGCCGGCATTTTCTGGTCATCTGTTGTGAGAATAAAGCCATTTTCTTGGACTTGGTTACAATGCGTGGCCGAGATGTGCCTAAGTCAGAGCTTGACAACAGATCTCTTGTCTGGTAAGTTTATTTCATTGCCTTTTCTCTATGAACAAGTTAATGTGTGTGCTTTTAAGTGTAATGTGCAAACAATGTTTCTACTTGTATTAAAATTCTTCTGCTCCATAAAAGTTGTTATTAGACTTTCTCCTTTGATTGCAGTATGGAGTTTCTTACCAGATCATCGGGTGGTGATGGTCCTTTAGTTGCATTTGGTTCAACAGATGGTGTCATTAGAGTTTTATCAATGATAACATGGAAGGTTTGTTTGTTCATTATTGAATTTTTATTTTGTTTTTTTTTTCTGCTGGGTTTTAGGGTGAAAGCTATTGATACTGGTCTGTGTTAATTTCACTGAATATTTATTTCCTTGCAGCTTGCACGTAGGTATACAACTGGTCATAAAGGATCAATTTATTGCTTGATGAATTTCATGGCATCATCTGGCGATGTAACTATACATTCTCTTAAATTCCCTTCTCTAATTAGGTTATTTTATTAGTTCTACTAACAACTGCCTTCTTTTCCCTTCTTATAAATTAAACAATTTTAATGAATGCTTATTAAGCATTTTTCTCTCTATTATTTATCTGCAGTATATGATACCAACCATTCTATATCTACCTGCAATTGCAGGCACTCATTGTTTCAGGTGGCAGTGATGGCTTACTTATACTGTGGAACGCCGATCATAGCAGTGATTCAAAGGATCTTGCACCCAAGATTATCTTAAAGGTATTTATTCCAATCCTCTACTCTTTCATGCAAAGATTGACCATATTTTGGTTACAGCTCAGGACATGTCACCATTGTTCTTAGTTTCACTCAACCTTCTGAGTTGATATGTGTTTCTGTTTCTGAGTGTTGGATCATTAGTAATTATATTTTTTTCTTTCATCTTTTTGTGATTGATAGGCTGAGTAATGATTAGCAGAGTATGACATGCTCTTGTAATTTTTTTTTTCACTTCGGATGTTTTTGGTCTGACTGTATCAGGCACATGATGGTGGAGTGGTGGCTGTTGAGCTGTCACGGGTAAGTGGCAGTGCTCCACAATTGATTTCAATTGGTGCTGACAAGACAATGGCCATATGGGACACAATGACATTTAAGGTAATGTTGTTATCTCATGTATAGCCTTTGCATATTTTATGAATCTCTTTTTTCAAAACACATGTTTACTGTTTTCTCTACAGGAGCTACGGAGAATTAAACCTGTCCCCAAGCTAGCTTGTCACAGTGTTGCATCTTGGTGTCATCCTCGAGCACCAAACCTTGATATTTTGACTTGCGTTAAAGACTCACACATATGGTATCCTTATTTAAACATTTTTGTAGTATATGTAGTGAGCATTTTATGTCTAATTGCTTAACGTTTCACAGGTCTATTGAGCATCCCACTTACTCGGCCCTGACAAGGCCATTATGTGAACTTTCGTCCTTGGTTCCGCCTCAAGTACTTGCAGCCCACAAAAAACTTAGGGTAATTAGCTCTTGACTACTTGCTTATATATTAGTTTAATACCATATGGTAGTACCCCACATTAGGTACTAAGAACATGATTAACCGGGGTTCTTAGGGTGAGGTTCTTATCGGAAGTTAAGAAACAGTTTCTTAATTTCGCTAAGAACCTTATCCTTAAGAATCCCCCATTAATCATGCTCTAACTAATGTCATTCTTTTCAGGTCTTTTGTATGGTTGCACATCCTCTGCAGCCACATCTTGTTGCAACTGGTACCAATGTTGGTATCATAGTTAGTGAATTTGATCCTCGAGCCATCCCTTCTGCAGCTTTTCTACCAGCACTGCCTGGAAGTAGGGAGAATTCAGCAGTATATATCCTTGGAAGAGAATTAAAGCTCTTAAACTTTCAAATATCCAACCCATCCCCTGGAAATAATGAATCAGGAATGTCTAAGCTAGATGCAGGTGAACAGTTGACAGTAAAACAGACCAAAAAGAAGAGTGTGGCACCTGTTCCACATGATTCATACTCAGTTCTTTCTCTAAGCAGCTCAGGAAAGTAAGTTTCCGCTTCTTTTAACAACTTTAGAACAGTAACTAACTTTGTTCTCTGGTTGTGTAGGTATCTGTCAATTGTATGGCCTGATAACTTGTACTTCTCTATCTACAAAGTTAGTGACTGGTCCGTTGTTGATTCTGGAAGTGCAAGAGTTTTGGCTTGGGATACATGTCGAGACAGATTCGCGATACTTGAATCTGTATTACCTCAAAGAATGCCTATGATCCCAAAGGGTGGTTCATCAAGAAAGGCCAAAGAAGCAGCTGCAGCAGCAGCACAAGCTGCTGCTGCTGCTAATGCCTCTTCATCAGCTACTGTCCAAGTTCGTATTCTCTTAGATGATGGAACCTCAAACATCCTCATGAGATCTGTTGGAGGTCGCTCTGAACCGGTCATTGGTCTGCATGGAGGTGCTCTACTTGGAATAGGATACCGCACATCCCGAAGGATTAGTCCTGTTTCTGCAACAGCTATTTCAACCATTCAGTCAATGCCACTCTCAGGATTTGGAAACAGTAATGTTTCTTCGTTTTCTAGCTATGATGATGGTTCTTCTCAGAGATCTGCTGAGTCCGCACCCTCAAACTACCAGCTCTACAGGTGAATTAGTGGCTCCATTTTAAAGTTATCTCAGTTCCCATATAAATCCTCATGTGAGTTTCAATGTGTAGTTGGGAGAATTTTGAGCCAGTAGGTGGCATGCTACCTCAGCCAGAGTGGACAGCATGGGACAAAACAGTTGAGTATTGCGCTTTTGCTTATCAACAATACATGGTCATATCTTCCTTGCGTCCTCAGTATAGATATCTTGGTAATGTTGCCATCTCACATGCTACTGGAGCTGTTTGGCACCGTAGGCAGCTGTTTGTAGCTACACCAACAACGATTGAGTAAGATGATCCAAGGGCTTCTTTCTGTTTTGTATCAGTTACTCTGAGTCTTGAATGCTAATACTTATGCCTGGATTTTGCAGATGTGTTTTTGTGGATGCTGGAGTTTCTGAAATTGATATAGAGACTAGGAAGATGAAGGAAGAAATGAAGCTTAAGGAGGCACAGGCTAGAGCAGTTGCAGAGCATGGTGAGTTAGCCTTAATCACAGTAGAAAGTGCTCAGAGTGCTAAGCAAGAAAGGATACCTTTGAGAGCCCCTATGCTGCAGGTGGACCATTTTCTTACTTTTATAACTGATTTTGAAGCTTAATTTTTCAGGTCTAAGCTTAATCAAATATTCACTACAAATTGTAGGTGGTGCGTTTAGCTTCTTTTCAAAATGCTCCATCTGTTCCACCATTTTTGTCATTACCAAGACAATCTAGAGGTGATGGAGATGACATGGATGAAAGAAGGGCCAGTGAGGTAGCTGTAGGTGGTGGAGGAGTCTCAGTTGCTGTTACTCGTTTCCCAGTGGAGCAAAAACGACCAGTGGGGCCTCTTGTTGTTGCTGGTGTACGAGATGGTGTTCTTTGGCTCATTGACAGGTATCAAGTCTCATATCAGTGAATGATCATAATAAAGATTGAACTACTGAGACATCTCTACTTTCTTGGTAGGTACATGTGTGCTCATGCCATATCACTGAACCATCCTGGTATTCGCTGTCGATGTCTTGCTGCATATGGAGATGCTATTAGTGCAGTTAAATGGTATTGATTATATATCTCAGTAAATAGTAAAGTAGCTGGAATTTACCTTATGTTTTTTTGTTTGTTTGTTGCGCAGGGCAAGTAGGCTTGGGAGAGAACATCATGACGATCTTGCACAGTTTATGTTAGGTATGGGATATGCAACAGAAGCTCTTCACTTGCCTGGATTATCTAAAAGGTAAAAAAAAAACATACTCCCTCCGTTTCATTTTAATTGTCATTCTACATTTTTGCACACAGATTAAGAAAAAAAATTTAATTTTACATATTTTCAAGAAAAAAACACAATTACATGTACACCTAATCACTTTTCAACCAATAGAAAAAAATAATATCATATAAAACTAATAAATTTTGTCTCGAAACTCTATAACAACACTTATTTTGAAACACAATTTTTTCTCCAAAATGACAATTAATTCGAAACGGAGAGAGTATTATGTTTGTTGCTGCCAAAAAAAAGGAAAAATAATTAGACTTATCTTTATGTGTTCTCAGGCTGGAGTTTGATCTAGCAATGCAGAGCAATGATCTAAAGAGAGCACTTCATTGTCTTCTCACAATGAGCAACAGCAGAGACATTGGACAAGACGGTTTAGGACTTGATTTGAGTGACATTCTCTCTTTAACAGCTGAGAAGAAAGAAGACGTTGTTGAAGCTGTGGAAGGGATAGTGAAATTCGCAAAGGAGTTTCTTGATCTTATAGATGCTGCAGATGCAACAGGGAACGCTGAAGTTGCTCGTGAAGCTCTCAAAAGACTGGCTACTGCAGGTTCGGTTAAAGGCGCTTTACAGGGTCATGAGTTGCGTGGACTTTCTTTACGTTTAGCTAACCATGGAGAGTTGACACGCTTAAGTGTATGTCCACCACTTCTCTTTCTTTCTGCTTCTAATTTGGTTATTACTACAGAAGCTTTTCATAACTGTAGACATAAAAAGGTTAGGCCTGAGATTTTGAGCTGAACCAAACTAACCAAATTTCGAACCGAACCAAATTTAACTAAAGTTAACTGAGTTTATCTGAACTTTTAACAAAAATTAACTGAAATCTAAACCTTAGGTAATATTTTCAAAAACCGAACTAATTGAATACCGAACCAATATTTTACTTTCAGATTAATTCAGTAAGATATACTATATAACTTCTTTAAATTAATACTCTATAAATTAATATACACTAAAAATCTCTATAAAATAATATAATTTTATATTCTCAAATTAAGTTTTTGGTTCAATTAGTATATCGATAAATTAATAATCTCTATAAATTAATAAATAAAATATAGTTTTAGTGTATTCCCAACATTATTAATTTATAGAGGTTTGTTGAGCTGAACTAACCGAAATACCCGAATCGAATAACCCGAACTAATCAAACCCGCAGGCTTGGTTTTCGAAGATTAAAATTTTGGAATATTATACTTTGTATCTTTCAGGTTTCTAACTGAAAGACTATTTTTTTGTTGCAGGGTTTGATAAACAATCTGATCTCAATAGGTTTGGGGAGAGAATCAGCGTTTTCTGCTGCGGTTTTGGGAGATAATGCGCTTATGGAGAAGGCGTGGCAAGACACAGGGATGCTTGCAGAGGCTGTACTTCATGCTCATGTAAGATTTCAGTTTTGGCCAATCTCTCTCTGTCATGAACCTTTTGTTTTGTTTCTGACTATCTTATTACATAGGCACATGGTCGTCCAAGTCTAAAGAACTTGGTCCAGGCTTGGAATAAAACGCTGCAGAAAGAAGTTGAGAAAGTTTCGTCTAGTAAAACCGATGCTGCAAGTGCGTTTTTAGCTTCTCTTGAGGATCCAAAGCTCACTAGTTTGTCTGATGCATCTAGAAAGCCTCCGATTGAGATTTTACCTCCTGGAATGTCTTCAATTTTTGCTTCCATTTCTGCTCCTAAGAAACCTATTTTTCCCACAGTGAAGACTCCACAGCCAGAACCAAGTAAGCCGTTGGCTATTGAAGAAGCAGCTAAGCCGTTGGCTATTGAAGCTCCTCCTCCTTCTTCTGAGGAGACACCACAGAGTGAGTCAGCAGCTCCGGAAACTGCAGCAGCTGCTGAGTCAGCAGCACAGGAAACTGCAGCTGATTCTGAGTCAGCAGCACAGGAAACTGCAGCTGATTCTGAGTCAGCTACACCTGAATCTGCAGCTGTTGCTGAGTCCGCAGCACCTGAACCTGCAGCGGACTCTGAGTCAGCAGCTCCGGAAACTGCAGCTGGTTCTGAGTCAGCTACACCGGAAACTGCAGCTGTTGCTGAGTCAGCAGCACCGGAAACTGCAGTTGTTTCTGAGTCAGCAACACCGGAAACTGCAGCTGATTCTGAGTCAGCAGCACATGTGGATGGACCAGTGATAGAGACAGTGTCTGAGCCTCCTGTGCCAGAGAAGGAGGAAACTTCTTTGGAAGACAAAAGCGAACCATCTTCAACTCCAACAACAGAGACAGCTGTTGCCACAGAGGATAATAGCCAAACAAAGCCGCCACCTGAAACTAGTACGACAACAACAGTGAAACCAACAGAGAATGCAGCAACGGGGAGGCCACAAGTAACGTATCCTCCAATAAGAAGCCAACCAATTGACTTCGATTTTTTGAATGACTAAAAGCCAAGTTTTTGCACAGAAGAAGATCCCGCTAATAAAAGACAACGAGAGTGTCATATCTTTTAGATTATCTTATTCACTCACTGATCAAGCTTTGTGGTCACCTTGATGAGAAGAAGAGAACGATGCTATTCATCACACAGTTCACACTATGTGCTTGTTTAGTTTGTAGTTTCATTTTGTAGTGTCATTTTTTTCTCTCATTTGGTTTCATTGCATTAAATGGTTAGTTTCATTTTTTTTGTAGTGTTAATTTTTTGTTTTCTGATTTCATTTCATTAAATGGTTTGTATTATTCCCTACATTTGAAAGCGATTTATGCTTTAGAATTTTACATATTATGAAACTATATTAAATTTTAATTACGTGTATCATTTTTGTAACATTTAGGAAAAAGTAGATTATTTTTACAATTTATTCGTATTATCTTATAAAAATACATTAAAAGTGCAAAACATATTTTTTTAAACAGTTATCTTTATAATCTTTTTTTAGTAAAACAATTTCGACAAACGTATGTATATGCGAAGTCAAAATATAGTTGGAAGCCCATTATTGGCCCACTCCCGATCGATCTGAAACCCTCTGAGTCATCAAGAAGTATAGACTGAGTTGTCTTGTAGTTGTCTGATTAGCGATAAGTATCCTCTTCCCCATTCTTCTCAACCTCCTCTCTTTCTCTCTCTCTCTCTCAGCCGTAAGAGAGAAGAAAAGGCTCACGAGAGGAGCCATGTCACACACAGTGTTTCAAAGCATCATCTCCGCTCCAAAACCCTCTTTACCAATCCCACGCTCAACCTTCACAACTCTTCCTTGTAAGCTCCGTCGCAGCTTCGTCAGAGCTTCATCATCCACTCCTCTCATAGACTCCGTCGGAGGTTCAGCCTCAGGTCTCGAACGATGCTTAAATATTCCCTTCAGCTGTGACTCATCCCCACCTTCTCCAAGTGCTCAGATGTGTCCAGTGATGAAAGGTGGCAAGTTTGGTTCCGTAGGAGCTGTTACCTTGGAAAAAGGGAAACTTGATATGACCCAGAAGAAAGTCGAATCTACCCCTGAGGTCTCTCTCTCTCTAAAATTTGATTCTTTCGATCGTTTACTAGTGTGGAACTAGTAGTAGCACTCGGTTCAGACTCTAGTAGTGTCCGTTAGCTAATAGATTTTAGTCCTGCTTCTTATTTTTCGATACAAAAGTGTAAATTTGTTTTTTTTTTAATCATAGTTTGCTTGATTTTAAGGTGAATAGATTGGTCATTTATATACTATGATGTATACGGGAGAGAGGGGGATTTTGAATTGTTACAGATGAAAATTAAGGAGATGAAGCATAATGTAGTGTTACGGCTGCAAGTAGTTGGATTAGTATCATTAGAAGATATTAAGAATAATAGTTTCATTGATCATTTATATCCTATGATGTTGGAGACGGGGGGTTTTGAATTGTTACAGATAAAATTAAGGTAGATGAAGCATAATGTGTAGATTAAAAAGAAATGTGTTACGTTACGGATGCTAGTAATTGGATTAGTATCTCTAAATAATAGCAATATGTAGATGAGTTAGGCTTTGCAGTGATATTTTTTTTTAATCATAGTTTGCTTGATTTTTAAGCTGAATAGATTGATCATTTGTATCCTATTATGTATACGGGAGACAGGGGATTTTGAAATTGTTACAGATGAAAACTAAGGAGATGAAGCATTATGTAGATGGAAAATGTGTTACGGATGCAAAAGTAGTTGGATTAGTATCTTTAGAAGATAGTAAGTTTCATTGATCATTTACATCCTATGATGTTGGAGACAAGGGGTTTTGAATTGTTACAGATTAAATAAGGTAGATGAAGCATAATGTGTTACGGTACGGATGCAAGTAATTGGATTAGTATCTCCAGAAGATAGCAAGATGTGGATTATTCACGCAGTGATATGTTTTTTTCCACTCATCAGAAAAAAATAGATTTAGCTTTTGTGAGTTACTGATTCATGTTTCATTGACAGATTGCAACTGGAGGAGGAGGTGGAGACATTGGGAAGAAAATCAATTTCGGTGGTGGAGATGGAGGTGATGATGATGGTGATGATGATGATTACTTTGACGAATTTGATGATGACGATGATGGAGATGAAGGTGGACTTTTTAGACGGAGGATGTTCCTCGCTGAGGTAAAGACATCTTTACTTTTGTTTTCATGATTTTTTTCATTGTCATGTTATCTCACACGGTAATGACATTTATGTCTTCTTTTTCAGATTTTTGATAGAAAGTTTGTTGATGCTGTGTTGAACGAATGGCAAAAAACAATGTTGGATTTGCCTGCTGGTCTTCGCCAAGCATACGAAATGGTTAGATATCCTTTGAAGCTTTTTGTTTAATGGTTTTTGGAGATTGCTGACATATTTATGGGAACTTGTATGTATATATGTATGCAGGGTTTGGTCAGCTCAGCACAAATGGTTAAGTTCCTTGCCATTAATGCTCGTCCCACAACAACTAGATTCATCTCACGTGCTCTTCCTCAGGGATTGTCTAGGGCATTTGTTGGCAGGTATCTTCTGAGAGACTCATATCTCAGTCTTTGAACATCTCCACCTGTCTCTAGAATTATAGATTGTATATTATATAGCATCACTTTTGGAAATATGCATGAGTTTCCTAATAAAGCAATTTGTTGAACATTGGTTTCCTTCATTGTCAGACTAATGTAGTCTTGACTATGTGGCTGTTGTGTAGGATGTTGGCGGATCCTTCATTTCTCTATAGACTTCTCTTGGAGCAAGCCGCCACGGTTGGATGCTCAGTTTGGTGGGAGGTGAAGACTCGTAAGAATAGGTGCTATCCTCTCCATGAGCCTAAACTCTCTTCACATGTATAGGTTTTGTAGCTTCTGATTCACTGTCCTATGATTTTGCAGAATAAAGGAGGAATGGGATCTTGCACTTATAAATGTCCTTACTGTATCAGCATGTAACGCAGCTGCTGTTTGGTTGCTGGCTCCAAGCCGTTCCTATGGAAACACGTTTCGATTCGACTTGCAAAACACACTGCAGAAGCTGCCAAATAATATATTCGAGATGAGTTACCCTCTTAGAGAGTTTGACTTGCAGAAGAGAATACACTCTCTTTTCTACAAGGCTGCAGAGCTGTCTATTCTTGGAGTCGCAACAGGTGCCTTCCAGGGCTCGTTGTCAAACTTTCTGGCTGGAAAGAAGAAGAATAGGTCCATCATCATCACTTAATCTTCTGTTTCTTCTTCTGCATCATTATCTCTTCTTTAACTTATTGTATCTTTGTTTTGGCAGAGTATCTGTGACGGTTCCATCAGTCACCACGAACGCTCTTGGTTACGGCGCGTTTCTTGGATTATACGCTAACTTGAGGTATCAGTTGCTATGTGGGTTTGAGAGAACAATGAGTAGCCACTTTGATGTCATAGGAGTAGCACTCTTTTTTGGCACGGCATTGAGGTATTTACTCTTCCTCTCTCTCACACATTATGAAGCCTTTGGTTGTATAATGAATATGGATGTGGGCGCAGGATTATGAATGTTCAGTTAGGGGAAAGATCAAGACAAATATGGCTAGGTGTGGAGGAAGACCCGCTGGCTCAATCAGATGATCTGCTGGCAAAAGCATACAACCGAGAAGCAGTAGGAAAGCCATCTTCAAGATGGTTCATCTCAAAGGATGCAATAGTCTCAGGACTACTTGGTATGAAGCAACAGGACTCAGCTTCAGATTCTCCTTCACCTCCAAAGGCTAGGCGAAAAAGGATTGTACGGAAGAAGGTAGCTGCAGCTGCTTCTTAAGCAACCAACCAAACCTCTATTTAATTATGTCATTATTTTTGGAGCCTGTGGAAAGAGCAGTAGTGAAGCTGTGTTGCTCGATTTGAGGCACACTTGAAAAGTTTTGTTAACCAGAGGAAAGTGAGGAGTCATTAAACAAGGAGATTGTGAACAAATTCTATAGCTTTTCTTTATGACAATCTCTCAAAGTCTTTTAAGTGGTTCTGGAAAACACATTTCTATTCTTTTAGGTGTGGTGAACTGGTGATACTAGCTCGTCTTAACACATAACAAACAAATGTTATATATGATCCATTTAAAATATACAATTGCAACTAATTTAATATTCTTATGGAAGCCATTAGGAATTAGAATTCATAGAATTTGGAAATATATAATTTAATATAATTTTTTATTTTCGTATTCAGTAAAATAATTTTTTAATATGATAAATTATGACTATAAAATTAAAAAAGGATAAATTTTTTTAATTTAATAAACAAGAAATATATATTAATAATAATTTATTTTTAATTATGAAATTAATGAAAATATTTATATAAATTTTTAAAATCGGGATTTTATTAAAATATTTTTTCAGAAAAATTGTTAGAAGTTTAAAATATAATATAAAATATACAGAATGAAAAAATATCAAAAGATATTATGACTAAAAATAGTTACATAGATTTATATTATTATTTTTAAGAAAATACATTTTAAATTTCGAAAGAAAATACAACTAAAAAATCACATATAAAAAAATAATCGAATAGAACTCTAAAGAAAAAAATAAAGATATTTATAGAATATAAAAATAAATTATGAATTAGAAAAAAATAGATATATTAATAGATTAGAACTTATAGTTTTAAAGAAACATCAAGACATAAGACATAAGTATTAACTTAAAAAATTTCTTGAATACTACTTGTCTAAGCTATACTCTAGTATAAACCTAACCTAATTATCAGAAAGGTGACAACAAGTTCAAAACATAAACAGTTAAACACTACTTGTAGACCAAACAATTGGAGCCTTTACACTTAAGAGGGTCGGATAAGATGATATAGGCCCATAAGACCAATAAAAGATCAATGTTGGGCTTTATGTTCATGTCCCTTTAGATCTAATTGGGCTTTTTACCAGTCTTATCTCCACTTCGAGGATAGTTTTAACCTTGCAACCAAACAGACGGTTTGTGTTCAATCTTCCCGCGTCTTTCACACACTCCTCAAGCTTTTGTGAAGGTCACTTTTTAGGGTTTTAATCTATGAGCTGATTTAGCTGAGTATATTTCAATTGAGTAGACTTCATAGTCAGAAGAAGCTTGGATTGTTGATTTTGAGCACTGAAGAAGTGGAAATATGAGTAGTGATGGCTCTAGAGAGGGATCTCCAGATTGGCTTCGTTCTTTCCAGGTTTCCTTTATTTGATTTCTATATCTTTTTTTAATTATCACACAATATTGAAATGTGGAAGCTTTTTTTGTTTTGTGTGTGTGTGAAGGCACCAGTCACCACTTCATTGTTATCATTATCTTCATCGTCTGGTCCAGATAATAGTCCTTACAGGGAATCTGAAACCATTTCGTCTCTTCCTCTGCCTGATGATCCTAAAACGAAGTTGGTGACAAGGCAAGTCTTTTCTAGAAAGAAGAAACCAGATGCTACTCTCAACCTTGAAGGTACTGAAGACTGTGTTTTTTGCTCTGAGATTTTAAAAGAAAACACTATTATTAGCACTGTTTAGCTCTTAAAGGCATGTTTCTTTTTTGGTTGGGGAACAATTAGCAGAGAAGGATGGAAACAAATTTGACGGTGGAGAAGACTCTACCAAGCATAAAAATCATTCAGTAAGAAACGTTTAGACTCGTCTCTGCTCTACACGTTTGTGCCTTTGTTACGTCTACTTGCCTTAGTATGGTAGTTAGTGTGATTTTAGTGTTTCTTGTTTGTGTTCATCTGTTTGATTGATAAACTGTAGAATCAAGATAGTGATATATTAGTTGGTTATAATCCTTCATCTAGAGAAGCTTCCCAGCTGCATTAGTGATTTTGGAAATTAGTTGGTAGTCTTTCGTCTCTCTATATCCCTTCTTAGTATTCTATTATTTGTTATTTGTGTGGATCTTTATGGATTTGTTATCTTTTGTGCTTTATCAGGGAGGAGATGATTCTGTATGGCTTGTCTCATCTGATTCTGAACCACCCTCCAATGATCCGATAAGGGAGCAAGTAATTATCTCAACTGAAAAGGATGAGGATCTTGTTATTCTAGATGAAGAGGTAGAACCAGCGGTTATGAAGGCTCAAAAGAAAAAATCTCCGAAGAAAAAGCCAAATAGTGGCCGCCAGATACCCAAAGAAGAGAACAGTGCACAAGAAATAAGCGAAGGTATGATTTCTACCAAAGTTTTGTGAATTTTGATATTCTTAGGAAGTAATGTAACGGTTCCTCTACTATGCAGATAAAGATACAGATTCCATAGTAGCCGAGGAAGTTACAACGGATAAGAACACCAAGCCTTCTTCTGTAAGTAGCTTGGGCCAGCACCAGTATTGTTGTCTATTCTCTATATTTTCCTTATGAACAGATTTACAAATTTCAGGGCTCAAGTTCAAGATTGCCTTTGGTTCTTTCTGAGAAGGTGAATCGTACAAAGGTAACGCCATTCACAGTTGTTGACAAAAGCAATGAAATTCATCTATTTTGGAGTTTTTTTTGTAGAAAACATACAGTTGTTAACAAAAGCAGTGAACTATATCACAGGTACTCGTTGAATGTGAAGGGGACTCAATAGATCTGAGCGGAGACATGGGAGCTGTTGGACGCGTGGTTGTTTCAGACACAACCGAGGACGTGTTCTTGGACTTGAAAGGTATGGCCCCCTTTCCCTTAATATCGCTAGCCTTACTCTTTATGCTTCTGGTTTTCTGATTTTTTTTCTTATTGAATGTTCAAAATTGCTAGGTAGCTATGCCTGTTGAGCCTAAAAGAAGTTCTGAATCAGTTCATGACTGTAGTGGAGTCTCTTTGCTAACAATTACCATTTCATGTTTCAGGAACCATATATAAATCAACTATTGTCCCATCCAGAACATTTTGCATAGTACGTTTTTTTTTAATCCTTGTACATATTTCAACTTTTAAGGGAACTTGTATTATACAAGTACTCACACCAGAGATTTTGCATTTTCAGGTTAACGTAGGTCAGTCAGAGGCAAAGGTTGGTAATCTCGATTGCGCGTGTACCATCTTAAGTTGTATATTTATATATTTTTGCTCATAAATCTTGACTTCAAACTTAGTAATAGCTCTTTTTGTTGGATTATATGTTTCCTTGTCAGATTGAAGCTATTATGAATGATTTCATACAGCTAACCCCAGTATCTAACGTCTATGAAGCAGAAACTATGGTGGAAGATCAGCTCGTTTTCTATACTTGACATCTTGTCTTCATGTACGGTATGGTAAACTGATTTTACTACTTCTCCGGCTGATTTTTATTATCCATTTAGGCACTCTGGAGGGGTTTTCGTTCGAATCAGATGATGAAGGTAACAAAAACGCAAAGACTGGTACAAAGCCTCCAGATGATCAAAGTGGAGACACAGCAGCCATAACCAAAGGAAATGGCAAAGCAAAAGGGGAACCTGTATGTTGGCAACTTTCCTTCTAATGAAATCAATATAATTGTTACAGTAAATGATATTTTGTGGAATGATATTTTGTGGAATGCTTTGCAGGTTGTAGGAAAAAAGAGAGGAAGACCATCTAAAGAGAAGCAGCAACCACCAACAAAGAAAGCTAGAAGTTCTGTTTCTAAGAAAACAAAACCGAAGAAATGAGTTATGATTTCAATTTCGGTATCTTTTCCAAAAACAGTTTAAGGTAACATTACATACATGAAACATAGTAGCTTTACATATATGAGTTGTGAATCTAATTCACACAATTCGAAGTACAAATCTAAGGCCTTTGATGAACAGATATTAGAATCTCTGGGAACACACTCAACATGGTCTGTTTGCTTTATCAACTCTCATTAAAAAGGAAGAATAATGATGTCTCATCATGTTGCGCATGATTGGCCAAGAAGCACACAAAGAGATATCAAATGCGGAAAGCAGTAGAAGCAAGTTCCTTGCTCTATTTCACTTAAAATGCGGAAAGCAGTGAAGATCAAAAACAGAGCAGTAAACTTATAAAATAAAAAGTCTCTCTCAACATAAAGTTCAACAATTACTAAAGTACCCCCGTTACCCCGCGATACTCAATTATTTACATGTGCTTCAGGGGTAACAACGTCAATTGATATTATTATTTCCCCTTTTACGCGTAACGAAAGTGAGCTTCGAGGAAAGTGATGCCGATTATAATATAATCCACCCGCCTCTCCTATCACCTCTCTCTGACCAAAACCAAAAAAGTTCTTCATCTCTCTTCTCCTTCACTTTACCAAAAAATCGCATCGATTCTTAGGGTTTCTAAAAAATTCTCGAATCTGTTCCTGAATCGTATCTCTGATCCTGATTTTGTTAAAAAAAGAAAAAGAAAAAAAAAGAGTATGGAAGTTTTATCGCTAGACTCACTACCGGTGGGGTTTAGATTCAGTCCAACGGACGAGGAGTTAGTCCGTTACTATCTCCGTCAAAAGATCAACGGCCGTGACGAAGAAGTCAGAGTGATCCGTGAAGTCGATATCTGCAAGTGGGAGCCATGGGATCTACCTGGTATCTCCACTTCTTCATAGTTTCTTAGATCGATTCGTAATTGCTTTGAGCTCTCTGATTCGTTCTTAGTATGTATAAGCAAAGATGATTTGGAACACCAATTATTATGATGATGATGTGTAGATGCTGATAACTTAAGAGTATGATGATGATGATTTGTTGATGTTGATAACTATGGTGATGATGATGATGATTTACATCTACGTTCTTAGAGCATCTCCAACGGTGTTACCCTTAGAAAAAAGGGTATTTCGGATTTGGTAACGATATTTCAGATTTAAAAAAAAATAAAAAATAAAAAATGATCATTCTTGGATTGCCATGTGTCCTGGGGTTCCGCAAATATTGTAAGGATTCGCTAAGAAACATTCTTTATTTAGGGATTTTAAGGATCGAATCTTAACTTTTTGTGGGATTTACTGATTATTTAATTATTTTTTTCTCTAAGGATTTCTCCCTAAGAACTCCCGCTGGAGGTGCTCTTAGTATGTGCTCTTATTATGTATAATCAAAGATGATTTGGAACAATAATTATCAGTTTTTTTTCCGTATATTAGGTAGTGGAATCGTTTAATTTGATTATGCATTAGATAATTAGTTAGCAGCTTGATGATGATGATGCTGATGATATCTATGGTAATGAACTAATGATGAAGTGTTGATGTTGATAACTTAAAGGATATGATAATGATGATGTGTTGATGTTAATAACTTAAAGAGTGTGGTGATGATGTTGTGTTTGCAGATCTTTCTGTGGTGAAGACGACAGACTCGGAGTGGTTATTCTTCTGTCCATTGGATAGGAAGTATCCGAGTGGAAGTAGGATGAATCGAGCTACTGTTGCTGGATACTGGAAGGCTACTGGGAAAGACCGGAAGGTTAAATCAGGAAGCACTAAGATTATAGGTGTTAAGAGGACTCTAGTCTTCTACACTGGTCGTGCTCCTAAGGGGACACGAACCTGTTGGATTATGCATGAGTATCGCGCTACTGAGAAGGATCTTGATGGGACCAAGCCTGGCCAGGTTAAACTAGTTTCGTTACTTGTGTTTAGACTAGAGTTTCTGATGGGTTGTGTTTTGGTTGCAGAACCCATTTGTTGTATGCAAGTTGTTTAAGAAGCAAGATGTTGTGAGTGAAGCATCACCAGAATGTGAAGCTGAACCAGCAGTCTCGTCTCCAACTGTTGTGGATGAGATGAGGTCTGAGGTTGAAGTGTCTGATGTGTCTTTGGCTTTCCCTACAAAGGAAGAACCAAAGCATTCTGATGTTGCGGAATCTTCTCTTGTAGTCTCTGGCGAGTGTCAGAGTGAAGTCTCTGCCCCTGAGGTTACAACCACCGAGGTAATGATGAACAAAATAAAAACCTTCTCATTACATGCTTTGTGAACATGGCTGGATCTAGGCACAGTCCTGTGAAACATTAGCACTTGGTCCTAAGGTTACTAACTTTGTTTTTAATCAGCAGCTTGACCATATCGATTGGAGTTCCTACTTGGAGTTCGAGTCCCTGGAACACACTATGTTCTCTCCCTTGCATTCTCAGGTGCAATCTGAGCTCGGTCCCGCTTTCAATGATTTTCAGTATGGGTCAAACGAACCATTCAGAAACCAGAATGATGCTCACATTCAGACACAGTACGGTTCAAACGACCCCGACCAGTATATGTTCGACCTCTTGGATTCGACTTTCCAGATTCCCTATGACTTACCAGAGATTAAACAACTATCGCAACCGATGCCAGAACAGATTCTATATGAGCCACAGAGTCTAGTCAACACGAGTAACAAGATCAATAACGATGTATCTGAAACAGGAATCAAGATTAGGACACGAAGGCCACAAGCCCCGGCTTGTGCTGAACAGTTTGTAATGCAGGGCAATGCCTTTAGAAGGTTACGTCTTCAGGTTAACCATAACAATCAACAGCCAGAAACTGACGGTCCTCAGAAAGAGGTGAGAAGAGGTTTAAGTGAGAATCTTTCATATGCCTTAGTATCTCTAACTTTGATAAAATGCGTACAGGTCAAGGACACAACATGTGGAGGTTTCATGAGATCAAAGAGCAGGACCGAGTTCATATTCAACAAGGTTGCATCTATGGGATGTTCATACAGTGGGCTGCTCAAAGCTGGAGTTGTAGCGGTTGTGTTTGCCATGTCTGTTTGCAGTCTAACCGGTAAATTTCGTTGAAGCTTATGCTACTTGTTCAATAACAATCAAACAAGGAAGGTGTTTTTGTGTGTATGAAATAGAGGATTGGCCCTGGCTTACACTTAACCATGGCCGGTTTAGTAGGGTAGTAGTTAACTTGTACTGCTTATAGTTCTGTTTGTATGTTTTAGATGTAAGAGAGAATCTTAAAGCTCGTATAGTTTTATCCCCCTGACCATTGTGATGTCTCCATCAATTCCAAATAGTCATGTTGTAAGAACTTGTATTTTATGATCTCTCTTTGAACCCATGTTGAATCTTTTTCTTTTAACATTTTAGCATGTTGAATCATACATTTGGTCGATATGGTATAGCATAGTGTACATGTTTATTTAGTATATGGATTGCTCACATCTTTTCACTAACTTTCTTAATGATGTGAAATAACACTAGTCGCATAATCGGAGTAACAATCTGTTGTTGGTCTACAAAAGCTGCGTTAACATGCCAAACAATTGTATATATCATTGTCATTTGTTCACTTTTAATGTAAAGCATGCAACGTGGCTTCCACTCTAATACTTTCCAACCATGCCAAGTTTTACAAAAAAATTTAGAAAATATATTAATAAATTTGGAGTGTGGTTTGGTATTTCTAAACAACACGTAAAATGCTAAATAGTATTTATCCAAAAATTCAGTTTTTTTGTAAGGGTTAACCCATATATTTCAAGAAAAATTATAAAAAATAGATTTTTTTTGTTTTAATGCATAGCTGCATCATACACTGACATAATATGAAAATTAAATCGGTTTGATATTTTAAATGTTTATGTTTCTCCATAAAATAGAGTTTTTATAGGGGTTAATCCACCTTTTAAGTGTTATATGAATGTTAAATAAATTAATCATTGAAAAATCATAAATGCTGCCCATGAACTATGAATATAAATTTAGAAAATATATTTATAAATATGGAGTGTGGTTTGGTATTTTTAAACAACACGGAAGATGCTAAATAGTATTTATCCGAAAATTCAGTTTTTTGTAGGGGTTAACCCATATATTTCAAGAAAAATTATAAAATATAGAATTTTTGTTTTAATGCATAGCTGCATCATACACCGACATAATATGAAAATTAAGTAGGTTTGAGACCTTAAATGTTTCTATTTCTCCAGAAAATGAGATTTTATAGAGGTTAATCCACATATTAAGTGGTATATGAATGTTAAATAAATTATTCATTGGAAAATTATAAATTCTGCTCATGTACCATGAATATAAGTTTAGAAATTATATTTATGAATTTGAAGTGTGTTTTTGTATTTTTAAACAACACGGAAGATGCTAAATAGTATTTATTAGAAAATTCAATTTTTTCGTAGGGGTTATTAACCCACATATTTCAAGAAAAATTATAAAAAATAAAATTTTTGTTTTAATGCATAGCTGCATCATACACCGACATAGTATGAAAATTAAATAGGTTTGGGCCCTTAAATGTTTATGTTTCTCCAAAACAAATGGATTTTTTTAGGGGTTAATCCACATATTAAGTGGTATATGAATTTTAAATAAATTAATCATTGGAAAATTATAAATTCTGCCCATGTATCATGAATATAAGTTTAAAAAATATTTTTATGAATTTGGAGTGTGTTTTTGTATTTTTAAACAACACGGAAGATGTTAAATAGTATTTATTGGAAAATTCAGTTTTTTGTAGTGGTTAACCCACATATTTCAAAATTAATTATAAAAAACAGATTTTTTTAATGCATAGCTGCATCATACACCGATATAGTATTAAAATTAAATAGGTTTAGGACCTTAAATGTTTCCGTTTCTCCAGAAAATAGCATTTTTATAGGGTTAATCCACATATTAAGTGGTATATGAATGTTAAATAAATTAATCATTGGAAAATTATAAATTCTGCCCATGTACCATGAATATAAGTTTAGAAAATATATTTATGAATTTTGAGTGTGTTTTTGTATTTTCAAACAACACGGAAGATGCTAAATAGTATTTACTAGAAAATTCAGTTTTTTCGTAGGGGTTAACCCACACATATCAAGAAAAATTATAAGAAATAGAATTTTTGTTTTAATGCATAGCTGCATCATACACCGACATAGTATGAAAATGAAATAGGTTTGGGACCTTAAATGTTTATGTTTCTCCAAAAAAATGGATTTTTATAGGGGTTAATCCACATATGAAGTGGTATATGAATGTTAAATAAATTAATCATTGGAAAATTGTAAATTCTGTCCATGTACCATGAATATAATTTTAGAAAATATATTTATGAATTTGGAGTGTGTTTTTGTATTTTTAAACAACACGGAAGATGCTAAA